ATATGCATGAAATAGACTTGAGGCAAAGCTAATAGGATGATCCTCCACAATCTATGGACTCGTTTTAAGCACCAACATCTTATCACAAATTATCATACATTTCCTTTGGATTAAAGATTCATACTGTTAGTGTATCTAAGAACAAAATGACACACTACAGCTAAAATATAAAGATGGAATCAGGAGGTTATTGTCAGAGTTTAGCGGTGTGAACAGTTGTCTGCCCCCTTTATATGACTGAACCAGTGCCATCAGTCTTTTTTAATGTGTCATTTGAGATGTCTCACTCCAGTTCTTCCTCTCTCTTTTGTTCGCTCCTCTCACAGGACCACACACAAGAGCCGGAGAGCTGAAAGCCTATTATCTACAATCGCTTTCTGCGGGGTACTGTTATCTGTTTTCATGTCTCATAGCTAGTTTTAAAGACACCCACAACTGAGTGCTTCTCCTCTTTTGTGGATTCAGAATCAGGGCAGATTCAAGAACAAACAAATTCTCACACTGGATTTCAAAAACAAAGAAAGTCTATGGCTTACAAAGAGTTAAAGAGGCAAATTGGGCCTCTTATTATAATCCAAAGAGAATTACTGCACAAAGGAGAATTAGGAACAGCACAAAAGATGAGAATGCACAATATAGCACTGACAAAACTAATAATGCATTCAGAGCCAAAGTTTCCCTCCTGTGTCCAAAGAGAGGAAATAACAATTTCCAATTAACCCAACTGAACTTTCATAATAACGTTTACTTATGTGAAACAGTAATATTCTGAAATATTATAATCATTTTAAAAAGGAGTTTTAGAGATTTACACATAAACCACATATAGTCATTATTATGTTCATATTTCATAAGTCAACATGAATTGCTATTCATATGTGAAACAGGATATTCACTGAGACAGGGCTGCGTTCAGCCCCGACAAAACGGTGCAAAATGTTTTTTAAACTGAAACGGTGGTGAGTTGAACACACTGTTCTGATGACGCAAGATTTGCAACTATGGCAGCTGAGAAGGCCATTTTTTGTGTTCTTTTTTGAAGAATTTTCGGAGCCTGATGAAATCCGTATAAATACGTGCTTAATGCTGCGAAATATGCTGGATGTTACAGTCACTGCCCTTGCCGTCCAGAATAAAAGAGAACATCCCAATCAAATGAAGGGATTTGTGGAAACTGTGGTTCCTAATTATTGTGATCCAACATTTGCCTCGCATTTCAGGATAAAAAGACAAACATTTCAGGTGAAGGATAATCCACTTCTTACCTCCGAGACTGTGTTATGATCTATATGACCTTATTATTTTTATTGTGAGTATTAGGCTTATCATTATTGCTGATCACTGTTGTTGTGCTATGATATTGTAATATTTACCATTATATAATCAGAGGGGTATAGAAAAGTTTATGAAAGTGTCACTCCACAATACAATAGCAAAATTTTTATGTTACATTAATCAGTGTCTATCTCACCTTCCTTCCTTCTTGGACCAGACGACATTGCAATTACTAAATGATATTTAGACAGACTTAAAGAAGTTCCAGATCTATACATGTGCTCTTATTATTTCTGTTATTCTGCCTTTAATGTAAATAAACATGTGCAAACAATATACTTGCTCTTGTGAATTTATTTTGATGTTAATTACATTGTGCGAGCTGTCTCTTTAATACCGTGTGGTTTATATACATGTTGCTGCTGATTGGGCTGACATTTTTGACACACCCACCAAACAAGAGAAAACGTATCTCAAACCCCATTGCACACCGTTTCCATGAAACATGTCGTTCAACCCGGAAACCGTAGCAAAACGTTGCACACCGGTTTGAGCTTGAACCTGCCCCAGGACTTGTTTTTATTGAGAATTGATTGGACAATGAAAAGGGGGCGTTACATGCCAGAATGAGTCAGGTGGCTGGAGGGGTAAACAAATAAGAAAGATTTATGATGTCAGTTGTATAGGAAAGTCTTTTCAGTGCGCATTTAATAAAAGATTATAAAGATGAAAACATTTTCTGTGGAACAATGTGCCATGAATCATGCAAAATAAGGCTTGCAATTGTGGTGATATAAAGGCTTATACTGTAGGTAAAATGGCCTCACCATCAACCACAATTGGAGGTTAGTTTGTGTTGCAGGACATTCACCAGGCTTTTCATGCACTGGGAGCCAGAAATTGTGGTCTTTCATAAAGACTGAAAGAGATTGAGGGAGTGAGGAATTGACTGGACATACAAGGACTGAAATCTTGTCATTGTCAAACCAAGGAGATGACAAGTAGCATTACATTTGAGATGTAAAAAGACTTCAGGTTTGAGAAAAAATATTGAAGGGCTGGATATGGTGCTGTCAGTTATCCTTCTTATATAAAGGTCAACTGATAGCAACTCTTATTTATCTCACCAGAGCAAGACTGGACAATATCTAAAGGTCACTTCAAATAAGACAACTATATGTTCTACTCACTTCAAATCAGTGATCTAATGCATCTTGCCATTACTGTGTTAACATAAAATTGCACATTCCTGTATTCTATCTAATACACACTTACGTAAAAAAAAGAAAACATGCATGTTTTTTTCCAAATGTCCTCCATCACAAAAGAGCTCAGATCACCATGACTGCCTGTTCTGCAGTCTGTTACTATTGGAAACAGGGGAAAAAGATAGTGGCTGAAGCTTGGTATATAAAAGAAGAACAGTGGCGTATCATCACTCTTCTGAAGTAATAAACTCTAGTCCTAAATCCCATTGTCTCTGAAGATAAGGCTTAACATGAGGAGATAGAAACCTCATTCTCTCTGGCTTTGAGGCAGGGATGCTGAATCAAGTATGGAGAATTGAATGATTTCAGTCTGAGAATGGTATCTTTGATGTTTTTTGATGGCTTGAGAAGTGCTGTGATTCCTTGTACTCTCATGTGTGATGACTTACTGATGAGAAAGATGAAAAATTAAAGAAAAAAACGGATCAGCATGTAATCACAGCCACTGGGCTCAGCAGGCAAACACAGCAAATTGGGAAGCAATTTCCCATTATTTCACTAGAACTTCAGACATTTGTGTTGAATTTGTATAACTGTATTGAATTTGAATTTGTATACTTCTTTCCTTTCAATTTTGCATAGCTGTTATTTTGTGTGTTTATGTCGCTTTTGAGGGAATCTCAATCTGCAGTGTTTTGTGTTTTCATTGCTAATTTGGGGTTTGAATATGTGGAATGCATAATTAAGTTAGCTAAAATATATAGTAATCAAACACTGAACAGATTCTCTGTGGGCCTGACGATGACAACGCCCTGTGTCCTTTGTTCCCTGTCTTATTTTGCATTGATGAACATGAAATGACCTTACACTTGATTCTTAATTGATTCTGTTTAGAATGTGTTGAATGCAGGAAAGCATACATATATGAGAATGTGGTGCAAAATTAAAAACATTTTTAAGTTTAATTTAGAAATGAAATCACTAAAGGTTAGAACTGTCAATATGAAATGGGGGATGCTGGGTATATCCTGAAATCATAAATCAAAAATATCAATAGAGGACTGGTGGGCCACTGCCATTTATACAGCCACAGTAAACATAATATCATAAAAATAATAAACATAATAAGAAGTTTGGTAGTTATAAAATATTAAATTCATTGGCTGTCCAGAGACGTAATGATACAGTTAGCCAGCAGATTCTGAAAGGAAACGTCAATAGCCATAACTACCTCAAAGATGTCTAACCTTTCACCTCCAGATCTCCAGAACTGACTTCTCCATCCCCCACCTTCTGCCTTTACTTTTCCACCCCATGATTTTCGCTGTGTGCAGAGATTCAATGTTCTTTTGAAATATCCTTCAAAATAAATAAAAAAGCAGCTCAAAACATCTAATCATATGCTGTTGCTGAAAACATCTTCAAAATGCAACAAAAATTGAATGCATTGGTCATTTTTATACGTTAATGAGCTGGAAAAAATGCTGGATCTTGGCCTTGGGAAGGAAAAACCTCAGATGTATGTGAGATTTAGCCATGACTTGCAGCAAAGATGACAACAAACTGGATGAAATTCAGCCTTTAAAAATCAGCTTTAAAAATTCTATTTTATATCATGCTCTATTCTTCTATGTCTTCTGAATGGCACATTCAACAAATAGGTTGGATCATTCCTGTTATACAATACTCACAATCATATTTCTGTTATCACAACATCACAATAAGTCAGCTTGAGGGTGAATAAATAATTTTACTACTTTGGGTCGAGTAGACATTGTCATTTTTGTCACATCCCGAGGTGTTAACATGCTGATTCCCTAATTCAAAATGTTTCAAACAAAACATGTTTCTCTGCAGATTTAGTTTTAATTGGTAGGCTAATATTTTACAGGCTTTTCTGCGCTTCAACTTCTATGTTAATCTTGCATATTATTCCTTAAACTAACAAAGGCCAGGTACTAATACTGCATTTACATGATTGTCAGAAAGTACTAGTCCTAACTGCAGGTTTTTGGAAACTAAAAGAAACTAGCTTATGATATCTGAAGTGCAGCGTCCCATTTGACAACTCATAGGCCTATTTATGATCATCCTGATGCATCAATGACATCAAGTAACAGGAAGTTACATCATTTTAAGGAAAAAACTCCACAAACATGAGCAAGTATTAGGCTAAGGATTTGATTCATTTTGGAATGTTTTGTGGTATTAGTTTGTTTGTCTCACACTAATTGTAGTATAATGACTATAATATTAAAATGTCAAAAGATGGTTGTAAAGTACCAAAGCTGACACCCTCATACAAGCTAACTCAATCGTTGACACTAAACCATGATAATCACGGTGGATTAAGCAGTAAAGGATTGGAGAACACACTGTTTTACACATCGCATCTTTTCCATCCACACCCTCTCTCTGTCTCTTTCTGAGCTTGACTATGCAAAGGGCAAAGCGGGCGGCTCGCACTCCCACAATAACAGTCGTGACGTCAGCCCGTCACCGCTCCCGCGGAGCGAGAGAGAGACTGAACGGTGATTGAAAGAGAAGAAAGCTGAACGGCGGTGGCGGCAGCCATCTTAAAACTACCGCACTAATCCGAGATATACATCCTCTGGATATTTTTGCAACACCGAGCTGAATCAGATTTTACCGGGCGAGAGGAGACAGAATAACATTGTTAAAATCGTTCGCTGTTTTTAAAACGAAGACGGGATGCGGATCCGTGGGGTGAACCCTTTCGCTTCTGCAGTCGGTCTGCTTTTAGGACTATTATGCGCGGTGGAGGCAGCCAAAGGTAAGATTCCAGACCTAGTTTTATTTACAATGAAAATGGTAACATATAAATGTGTATATTCTTTGGCATGCGAAGATATTATTACAATTAAAAAAAAAATATATATATATTTTTTAAAGGTTATCAATGTTCTCGTAAGTATCCTCTTCTGTCAAGGTTTCTTGACAATGATCTGAAACAATCGCTCAATCTCAGTGTGAGGATGTTGCGTCCAGCGGTATCGCCGTACATCGCAGCTCATTAAAAAAAAATCAATCTCTGCTTTAATTTCCCGTCTCATACTGAAAAGATGTCATGAAATAATTGCCGTGGCCTGTCAGCTGTGAAATGTCCACTCTCCCTTACGGTTCCGCTTCACTTGACAGCTATTTTTGAGTGTCAATCCTTTAACACAAGAGTCTTCTGTGCCAACACCCCGTGGCCAAGACTTTAGCCTACAGCTATTTGTACAACAGAGTAACGTTACATTGCTTGGGAATCAAACCCGTGTGCTTGATTTCTGCTCTATTCTCAACGGCAGGTTGTGGCGTTTTAGCCGATTACTAAGTTGTTTGCAATTTGTATAGTAGTTATATATACCGATGTGCAGACCGCATTGCAGATCCTCTGGGAATACTATGTGGTCTGGTTTTAAAAATTCATCTTTGAAATGCTCACACACGCAGCTAAATATGACTGAAGGACATCGCTGCAGGTGCACGCGCAGACATTACAGCAATGACACACACACACACACACACGCGGCTAGATGTACGAAACATTTGCTTGTGAAACGCTGCCTTTCCAGAAATATCCTGTTGTGCGGTTACCTTGTTCATTATTCTTAAAGGTACAAGTGTGAATTTGCTCTGAAGTTAAAACTTAATATGTGGATGTTATGAAAGAAATGTACCATTTAAAAACATCTAACAAACATTTACATTGTTTGTTTATTTACATGGGCCAATGAAGTGTACTTTTTGTGGTCTAATTATCATATAGCCTATGATATACAAAAATACAATGCAAAATGACTTTTTTCACTTTCCTGATTTAAAAGTAATTTTTATGTGTTTTTTTTGAGAGGCAAAGTCAGAATTGTCAATTGTTTTGTACATTGAGTGTTTAAGGTGCAAGGAAACAATTTGAGTGCTAAAATTGTTAGATGGTTGTACCACTTGACATTTTTGGAGTCATTAGGTGAATTTGTTTGCTTGTTGATGAATACAATGATTACATTTCTTAGGTCTTGCAACATATTTAAAAACAAGATTTTTTAAATATTGCTCCTTTTTATCTTGGACATCCCATCCTTGTTTGTCATTGACCCATATACAAATCAAATCTTGGATATCATCATTCATTAATAGGGTGCTAATAATTGTCAGTCATTATGTTGTTGCCATGTGAGGCAGCTGGGAATGCATGGCCTGAGACCATTAACATATAAGATAATTAACTAATTGTTTTATGATCTGTGGTGCAATTCATGGGTTGAGACTTAATTTATAACTTAACTTTTGATGTGCATGTGACCATCTTGACTTGTGTAACCTTTTTTTAATAGTTTTGATCTGTGGTTTTCAAATATTTAACATTTTACATCAAGTAATGAACCAACCCAAGTACCTCAGTCGTTGAAATCAAACATTGAATGCATTAGTATTAACATGACCTTCATAGGCACAACAATAGGAACAATTATTAACATGACATTAACTGAATAGTAAAACTATGCAAATTCATAAACAACAATCAAAGAGTGGTTTACCAGACATTGGGACAAATATTGCATTTGTATTATCCATACCAGGGACTAGAGACTATTAAAATACAGTTGAGTTTGATTTTAATCACAGAGGTATTGATGTCACCAACAAATAATTTGAGACATTTTCTTTTCTTTAAAAAAAAAAAAAAAGAAGCATATTCATCCACAACTTTTTCAGAATAGACCTGCAAACCATTTTTGGGTTGCAATGCACGCCACCAGTTTAGAACCATTGGTTTCCTTGCTTTACCAAAAATGTCTTCAACTTGGCGTGTTTTATAATTTGGAGTCAAAAGTGAAATCATTTTGTACAGTCCCTAACAATTTATACCTTCTGATTATGATTACTGTACTAAAGTACTCTTTGGATCTGTGAATTTTGCTAGCTTTTCATCACTGGAAAATTGTGATTGCTTGATAGCCAAAAAACGTGTCACTATTTAGAGTAGCACTTGTGATTTGTCTAAAATTCACAGGTGAGTAAAGTCCTCCATTTTCTCTCTTTTACAGAGTCTATGTATTCACACCTCCACAGATTATTACCATGCCTCACTTAGTGTTTTTCAGCCTTGGATAACTTTATTACCCTTGATTCATTTGACAGAGTCTCTTTTGAGTTTGACTAGCTTTGTTTAAACACACCTGCTCACTTCCCTGCTGTTATCAGTTGAGTGAACACACCAAATTACACACCCCTGCAAACGATCACAAGACGTCTAGGGATCTCCTTAGTAATATTGCATTCGTTTAGTAGATATTTTTACAGTTTAAATATAAAACTACCATAGGCTGCCATATTTTGTTTTGTTTCTGAAGAATGGTGAGAGGTTAATTAATGCATTAATTCAAGCTGTGCTCACAAAGCAGTTTCTTTTACTTTTTAAAAGGTGTGAAGGGATTTTCTTTTATTTAACTGATGTAATAATAAAGATTCATTAAGAAATCTTTGGGAAGTTACCAGATAATCTTACTTTCTACTGCAGTTTATAACAGTGATTTATTTCTATAATATGGCTTCTAGGCTTGCCGCGATAGACGGTGCTGACGGTGATAAGCTGCAACACCGGTTACGTCACTTGCCCACCGCGGCACCGACCCCCACCGTCGTTTTGATTTTTTATAGTAATAAAAATCATTTAGTTCAGTAAAAGAACAGACACTACAATTAAAAACGGAACGCGGCTGCTCAATGTAGCGTGCCGAACGACAGTCGCATCACAGATCAGATTTCATTTCTCCAGTGAGGAGAGTGCATGAGTCGAGCTGACTGACAAGAAGAGTGAGGTGAGACAGACAAGACGAGTGAGGTGAGACAGACCAGAAGAGTGAGGTGAGACAGACCAGAAGAGTGAGGTGAGACAGAC